CCCCATTGACCACCACTCTCTGGCTTCTCCCACCAGCCAGTTCCCAGTCCACCTCACTACCTGGTCATCTAATCCACACTTCCCCGTGTCACAGGTGCTGGATGAATTCTCCAGGCAGGTCAGTAAGATCGACTGGCCCTCGGGATCCCCGGCCACAATCAGCTACGCAGCCTTGGATGGGTACCTCAGTAAATACCAGGTACAGCCCCCCTAGGTGGGAAACCCTCCCCGTGCTCCCTGCATGGTCTGCAGGTGACACCCTGGTGTGTGTTAGGACATGGGTGGAGTGGGGCTGTGTCCCAGGGGACGCTGATGTCCCTGCAGTGGTGGTGGTGGTGGTGACAGGGTGTTGTTTCTCTCCGAGAACCCCCGCGATGCCGACCCGATGACCAGAGTGCAGGCAGAGCTGGATGAGACCAAAATCATCCTGGTGAGGAGGATGTTGGGTTTGTGGCCTGGGATGCTCCAACTGGGACATCTACTTGGGGCTGTGGGTGGGGTGACCTTCCAGGTGATGGGTCCATCATCTTCTTCATTCCCTGGAGATGTTCCTGGTGCTGTGGGAGCTTCTTCTCCCTGTTGCTTCCCTCTAGTGTGAGCCTGGAGACCCTGATCCCCTTCCCTCCTCCAAACCACGGTCCCTTCCCTGTGCAGTGTCACATCCTTGCTTGTCTCCTGCTTTAAATGACCTTCAGAGCCACCTTCACTGGGTCTCTTCTCCCTGTTGCTGTGACCTTCCCACCTTCACTGGGTCTCTTCTCCCTGTTGCTGTGACCTTCCCACCTTCACTGGGGCTCTTCTCCCTGTCACTGTGACCTTCCCACCTTCATTGGGGCTCTTCTCCCTGTCACTGTGACCTTCCCACCTTCACTGGGGCTCTTCTCCCTGTCACTGTGACCTTCCCACCTTCACTGGGACTCTTCTCCCTGTTGCTGTGACCTTCCCACCTTCACTGGGGCTCTTCTCCCGGTCACTGTGACCTTCCCACCTTCACTGGGACTCTTCTCCCTGTCACTGTGACCTTCCCACCTTCACTGGGGCTGGGATTGCTCCATCCCTCGCTCTGGAGCTGGGGTGGTCATGGGAAGGCAGAGGTTTGTCCCTAGATAGGGACATGGTGGCACCTCCATCTTATGCTGGGGGTTGAGGAGGGAGCAGGGGGTGGTCCCTGGGTGCCAGCACCAGTTTCTTTTGGCAGCACAACACCATGGAGTCACTGCTGGAGCGAGGGGAGAAGCTGGATGACTTGGTCTCCAAATCAGAGGTGCTGGGGGCACAATCCAAAGCCTTCTACAAAACTGTGAGTGTGGCTTTTCATCCTGAGGAGGGTCACCCACAGAGCCAGGGATGGGCTGGGGCAGGGTGAACCCCTGGGGGGAGAAGATGTGGGTGCCAGGCAAGGATCACCCTCCACCAGCATGGCTGGAGGGAGCCCAGGACTCTGGCTGTGGAGCTCAGCCCTTCACTGGGGCTGTTTCTTGCCCTGAGGCTGCTTGGGGGTGACACTGGTCCCAGCCATGGTGGTTCCTGGTGTGGGTGATGGCTGAGGAGGTTGGATCTGTGCCATCAGCCTTCGACGTGGTGGCACAGGGTGTTTCCCTTCATGGTGAGCCCTGAGGGCGGGAGGAGAGCTCTTGGTCCTCGGTGAGCTGCAGTGAGTGGCACTGCTGGTGTTCATGGAACCCCAGACTGGTTTGGGTGGGA